CCCCAAAACCCCAAAACCCCAAAACCCCATGAAGTAAATTCATTGAGAGTTTAGTCTAGGACAAATCATATATTGAGAATAGAATGTTAATTATGATTTTTAGGCAGTCAACATAATCACTGAGAAGCAAGTTAATTTATTCTCCATTGATAGTAGTTTTCTCTCATTCTGTCAGTCTTCTTCAGTAGATTCAAGTATTTGACTTGTGTGTCTTTGTCTTTTTCAGCCACTGCAAAATCAATCAAAACCATGTAAATAAATCTATTTCCTTTGTTAAAATCACTTTTATCTAATAGTGCATGCATTATTTCTTTAAGAAATGGAAAATCCAAAATAAACCATCTCTTAGCATTAGTACTTTAGGATTAATGAGCCTCTTACTCTGAGATAGCCAAATAACCTCTAAGATATACCCACGCTGCCTCATTTGCAAGATCTATGTCTAATTTCTTTAAAGTGTATTCTAATTCTTCCTTGATATTTTGCTGAGTAAATGGCTTTGTTTTAGTGAAGAGAAAGTATCTATATGACCATAGGGTATTATTAGTGACCTCATCTGTGAGCTCTTCATCAACCCATTCCCATTCATACTCATCCAAAAGATTAAATCTCTCAAAAAGCCAAAGCTTATAAGACCAGGCATGATAGTTCTTAGAATCAGACTAATATACTTCATCTAGGAATTCTTTCTCCTCTCTAAAATCTTACTAATGTATCTGCATATTGTATAATTAAACCTAATAAAGATACCTCCATTATGCATCTTCTATGATGCCAAATTTAGAAGTTTTTCTCAAGATATAAACCAATTTCTGTTAAGAATTCTAATTCTTCCCTAAGCGGCAATTTGAGTTCATCTATAATTTTCCTTCTAAGTGCCCAAGCATCATAATCTCCTGGATTGAATCTCAAAACATCAGCTGTCAATTCTAATGCTCTCAGACTCAATTCTTTCTTGACTAGGATAGCTCTAAAATAGCCCATTACTTCTACATCTAATTAAACTCATTAAGGATTTGATAGTAATCAAATGAAATTTGAAATCTTGTTGTAAATTTAAAGGCATATTACAGTTTGGAAGATACTAAATAGGACAGATTGGTGCTTCACCTGTAGGGGTGTCATACTGTTTAACAGGAGTAATATCAGCCCAAGTGTCTAAATAATTAAATAGTTGTAGCAATACCTCCTCTTTGACCAATTGGCACATAATCATCGAAAAATCCCATTTTATTAAATCAAGAATTTGTAATTAATTATTTAATAAAGTTAAAGAAATTTAATGAAATTAAATTTATATATTTAATTGTGAAAGAAGATTTATTAGAAAAATTAATTCTTCATTTTGTTTGAAAGATGCAGATAATAAATCAGCATAATACTTATTTGCTCATTCATGTATCCTTATATTGTTATCAATGTTATTGATTTCTTAATGCTAATTTTATCGAATGTTTAAATGCTCATGCAAATTTTACAGACTATTTCCCTCATCCTCTGCCTCCTCAATGGTGCGATCTCCATTAACTTTATAGTGATCATCATGATCTTAATCATCCATCATTGGCTGATATTGAGAGTATTCTCCTCCGTCATCACTGAAAAATTAACTAACAAAGTCTGTAATAGGCTTTCTTTTTCTTCTTGGATTTAATATTCCCTAAGCTTGTCTGCTTAGAAGCACCTCTCTTAAGGACTTATTTTTGTATATTCCTTTTTGGATTGATTTTGATACCTCTGATGCCAATGCTCTATAATTAATTCTTATTAAAATAAGTTCCTTACTTTTTAACTCTAGGCTTCTGCATCTACTAGTCCATCTATTATATCATCAAGTCTGATTGAACTTGCATCAATTATCTCTGATTTTCTGAAAACAATTCTTCAATACTTTCTAGATCTATGAAGAATTAGTCAAGTGGGTTATAAGGGCACAATGTTTCCATGCATATAACTTTTCCGCCAATATCCTTGTCAAATTAGAAATTAACTGTCATTTTGCAGCATTTACTGAGAGGACAATTCTTGCCTAATAAGATTACATTGAAAACCTGTTTAATGGTGTCAAATGCGATCTTAAAATTAACTTTTTTGTTTCTCATCTAAGGCCAATGACCTAGCATAAAATTTTTTATGATTTATTTTTGATTTTCTGTTGGAAGATTGAAATCACCGAATGCTTGATAGTAAGTCACTGGCAGTTCAAAATTTAAATTCATAAAACTAAATACATCTTTGGCTGGTCTATTCATAATATCCCCTTTGTATTCTTAGCCTTGAGTATTTAAATTGCTTTAATCTTCATAATCCACAAAAGTATGAGAAAATATTTCGGTTTTATCTTTTTCCTTGGCTTTCCTTCGAAGCTCATCTTCTACCATTTTTCTTTCTTTCAATCTATCTTCTTCCTCAAGCTTAAGTTTTCTGAGCAGCTTCATTTTCTCTCTCTAATCCTTGTTTGCCTTTAATGCATAATAAAAGGGATTTTGCTTTGTTTTGTCAATCTACTGCAATTCCAAATCAGCATAAATCTTGCTGTATTCCTTTTCAAAGTTATTTTCCTCTTAAGGGAAATGTTTAAATAGCTTTTCACATAGCTGCTACCTTTCCTTTAAAAATTTATCTCGACTGAGTTTCTGCAGATATACTTTTTCCTCCATTGTCATCTTCTTTATCTCTTATCTTAACTTTTCAAGAGAGATGTTAGGGAGCATAGCTAGTCTCTCCTTTACAGATTTCTTCTTACTAAAAATATTTGCCATTAATCTAATCACAATTGGCTCATCGTTTTAATAAAAGTCATCTTTGCTTCTTTCCAATTCGGAGAAAGTGTTATTGATGTCCTTTAGTTAAGGAAATGTTGAATCTAGCTCTTTTTTCTAATTTCTATTATTATTTAAGCTAGTAGATCGCCCGCTTCTTAACCCTTCTCTATTAGAATGCCTAAGATCAGATAATTAGTTATTGGTCCTTCTTTGCTATTTCTTGCTTTCGACACTATTAGGGCCATATATACTGAACAATTTGCCAAGATTAATACCATTAATTTCTTCGTCAAATTCATCAAAATTAAAGCCAGAGATGGTCCCTCCAACTCCACCTAAGATTTGCTACTTCCCAAATTACATAACCTATCTACTATAATGCTTGTTCTTTGATGAACTTCTATATTAAAATTGACTAGTCACTTCTCTACTGTGATCTATCTATGGTAGAACATCTTGCTCTTCATATTTTGGTGGCACAGGGTTATTCCCTCTATCCAAAAATCTTTAACAAGCTTTATGATGGTCATGTTTATGCTATTTTTCCTTCTGATGAATTGGGAGGGATTTTTTCTCTCTTAGAATTAACTATGATTCTGCCTTGTAGAGTTCAACTCCTCCTTAGTATATCTTTGCTCCTATATGATCTAAACTCAAATCCTACTCGAGTTTCTTAATCTTTTCCATATTTCTCATGATTTTAAGAGAATTTCTCTGCATTGAGTAAAACTGAGTCTTGTTATTAGATGGGTCTGGTCTATTCTTAAATTCACACTTTTTGATTATAAGATTTTAAATAGCTCTTGATGGTTAATGGGTGGACAAGTCCATGCTCATGTTGTCATTTTATAAAGTCTTTCTTCTCTGCCCATTATTGTAATTTGAAGTGGACCCTTAATTAGGGTAAGAGGTTGAGTGATTATGCATGTTTTAATTATCATCAAGTGGTATTGCCATAGAAAAGTTATGTGGAATATCATTTTGATTATGAGATATTACTGATCCCATCGGCACTTATTCTTAGCTTTCACTTAGCATCCTCTTTTTCTCAACTTTCTCAATACTTATCATTTATCTTCTTCTTGTGCTGTTCATTTGTAATTCATTCTGCTTTACAGTCTCCTGCAACAAACTATCCTTAAGATTTGTGTAGTTATTGTCAATAGATTAATTTCTGCCTTTTTTGTTTGAATTTTATGAAGCTTCCTTTCCAAATTCACTAGTATTATTTTGAATATTTTCTTTGCTATTCATATTTGATCTTAGCATATAATTCTCTCTAGAATTATCACTCAACAGCTAAGTATAAGATTTTTCATTGTGAGTTAGTTGTGTTTATACATCTCCCCCTCCAAGTCCAATTTAAGTTTGACCTCCATAGCTTCCAGCATTGTGAGAAACTCCATCTGGTCCAAGTGTTTCAGCTCTTTTGTTATTATTTGACTATTCAATGGGAGAAAGATCTCTTCCGTAAATACTGTTATTCATGATTGGGTTAGTTTTATTGTAAGTGCTCTTATATTACTAATATGGATTTGTAGTAGTAAGAGGCCTATTGGAGTTACCCCCATTACTGTTTATTTTTGTAGCATCAGCAAAAGTAAACTGATTCTAGATGTTTATGTAGGGATTTGATGCTCCGGTTACAGCACCTGCTGTTTGGATATTTTACCCAGACCTTGTTCTATTCTCTTTTCTTTATGATAATAACTATTCTTAAGTGTTTTTACGTTGAGACTCAGTTGAATTTTACTGCAGGGATTATTATTACCTTGCCTAAGTTCGAATACTAGCTGCATTCTAAATAAGAGAGTTTCTTGCCTGATGAGAAGATGATTGAGGCATGCTATTGTTAAGATTAGTATATGCGCCTCCACCGATTCCAGCAGACTGTATACTTTGGCTTATTACTTACTTTGTAGTTGGGTTAGTAGTTATCATATTCGGTTAATTTGTCAAAGTTTGATAAAACTTTAATTTATGCATATCCTTCTTATGCCTGATTTACTTCGCCAAATCTCCTTGCTTAGATTTAAGAGAGATTATCTAGGAATTTGATGGATTCTTATTAAATATTGCTGGCATGGTCTATTGCTTGTTTATTATTCCTAGAGGTTAGATGTTTGTGCTGTTCTGAGGATACTAAATATTGTTGTTATTTTAATGCTGCTGAATACCTTGATTATATAGACTCTGCTGTACATGAAATTGCTAAGAATGAATTAAGGAATTCTTGATAGGAGAAGTGATAGTCTCCGGTTGTTTACCACCAGCTATAGCCTTGGTTGACATAGAAGTCCCCTCATCCTTGATGTTAGGGTTGAATAGTTTTGCCTTCAAAATAGTGTACTAGGTGTTATCAGGAGAGAATTCAAAATGCTAAGTTTGATTATTTGATTGGTTTGTTGTAAGAATATTAAAATCACTATTCAAAATTCCTTAAATGATATCCTTGTCCATCATTTTTGGACTACCTCCCTAATTCTAGTTGTTGTTAGCGGTGACATTGTTATTGCTAATAGCTGGAGGAATGTTTTTATTGTGATTGAAATTAACATGCACGTCATTTATATTGCTATTGCTAAAAAATGAGCCCATTTCAAATCCCCCTGGCCCTATTCCATTTATGTTGCTTTGCATGTTTTAGCTAGTAGGCAATAAAATTGAATTATTGCTACTGTTATAAGGTATCAGTTATGGGAAATTGATTGTATTTTGATTATTATACCCAAGCTTATTTGGTATAGAATTTTCCATTGTAGCTAAATTGACTTGAGTGTTGTCTTAGGTTTGATGGAGTAACTTAAATTGATCTATGGCATTCGGATCTGGATCAATTTTATTCTAAAGATCTCCATTCGGTTACGAAGAAGGTCTTTCGAAATACTGTTTATTAGTTGAACTATTATACGAACCATCGAAATTCTCTTGCTTCATCATTTGATTGTCAAAAATCTAAGCCATCTTAATTTGGTTATTGGGCTAAATCAAACCAGGATAGTGTCGATTCTCACCTCCATACTTAGTAGTAAGTGAGTTATTAAGTGAAGCTCCTCTATTATGAGAACTTACTGTGGCTTTCTAGCCTTTTATAATCATTTTTATTTAAGAAATTTATAATTTTTAATCTCTATCCACTTTTGATATTTCAATCTAAAGGGGTTTTGGGGTTTTGGGGTTTTGGGG